ACAGCACCGTCCAAAAATACAATGGAACCCATGCCCTGTGCTACGGCATTCTCCTAACACACAATGGAACCCATGTCCCGTAATACAGCATTCTCCCAACATACAATGGAACTCATGTCCTGTGTTACAGCACCCTCCCAGAATACAATAGAACCCATGTTCTGTGCTACAGCATTCTCCCAACATACAATGGAACCCATGTCCTGTGCTACAGCACCCTCCCGGAATACAATAGAACCCATGTCCTGTGGTACAGCATTCTCCTAAAATACAATGGAACCCATGTCCTGTCCTACAGCATTCCCTCAACATACAATGGAACCCATGTCCTGTGCTACAGCCTTCTCCCAACATACAATGGAACCCATGTCCTGTGCTACAGCCTTCTCCCAACATACAATGGAACTCATGTCCTGTGCTATGGCACCCTCCTGGAATACAATAAAACCCATGCCCTGTGCTACAGCATTCTCTCAACATACAATGGAACCCATGTCCTGTGCTACGGCATTCTCCCAACATACAATGGAACCCATGCCCTGTGCTACAGCCTTCTCCCAGCATTCAATGGAACCCATGTCCTGTGCTACAGCCTTCTCCCAACATTCAATGGAATCCATGTCCTGTGCTACAGCCTTCTCCCAACATTCAATGGAACCCATGTCCTGTGCTACAGCCTTCTCCCAACATTCAATGGAACCCATGTCCTGTGCTACAGCCTTCTCCCAACATTCAATGGAACCCATGTCCTGTGCTACAGCCTTCTCCCAACACTCAATGGAACCCATGTCCTGTGCTACAGCCTTCTCCCAACATTCAATGGAACCCATGTCCTGTGCTACAGCCTTCTCCCAACATTCAATGGAACCCATGTCCTGTGCTACAGCATTTTCCGACCACCACGCAACTAAAACCAAATCTTGTGCTACACCACCTCCCAACATACAACGGTACCCATGACCTGTGCTACAGCATTTTCCCAAGGTCATGCAACTGAACCCCAGTTCTGTGTACAGCATGCTCGGACCATGCCATGAACCAATGCCCTGTACAAGTTCCCAGTTGGCCTCAGGTGTGTACAATATGCATGATACAGCAGGACATCTCTCTGCCTTACCCATGATGTCACCTGTGAGCACCAACATCCAGGTACCTTCGTGATCAACATCTGAGGTGCGGAGAATGGATGGGAGTACCCCCCCCCCCCCCCCCACTTCATGTGCCCAGGGCTCTAACATCCCTGCTCCATGTCTAATCACTTGAGAACACCGTTAGAACCCTGGTCACGTTGTGAAATCAGCCCGTGTCCCCTCTAGGAAGAGTCACCCTGTGACCCAGGGAAAAACCTGAACAGAAAGATATTCCAATAAGGACACCTGTACTGGTGACTCCTCTCACTTCCTATCCAGGGGATGTAACAGGAAGTGAAAAGGAGTCACCAGAACAGGTGTGCCCAATAGGGACACAGCTCATCATATTTTAGACAGCAGTCCATGTCCCCTAGGAAAATAGTCACCACGTGCCCCAGCGAAAACCTGAATCTTACAGTGGTCACCAGAATAAGAGAAACCTTTCAATGGGGTCACCTGTTCTCATGACTTCCCTCACTTCCTGTTGCATCCCCTGACCAGGAAGTGAAGAGAAAGCTCCCCAATGGGGACAATGATGGTCATATTTTGCAAAGCAGTCCAAGTCCAAGTATTCCTCTCTAGTATTCCAGGGGAAAGAGAATCCTACAGTGGTCAGCAGAAAAAGGGAGAAATCTTCCACCTGCTCTGGTGCAAGTCTTCCCTTCACTTCCTGCTGCATCCCCTGCACAGGAAGTGAAGGGAAATCTCCCCAATGTGAACACAGATGGTCACATTGTGTAAAGCAGTTGGCAGCCCATCTAGGAAGAGTCACCCTGTACTCCAGGAAAACTCCAAATCTTACAGGTGTCACCAGGATAAGAGAAACTGTCCAATGGGGATACCTGTTCTGGTGACTCCCATCACTTCCGGTTGCATTCCCTGAACAGGAAGCGAGTGGAAATTTCCCCAATGGGGACGCAGATTGTTACATCTTGTAAATCAACCTGTGTCCCCTCTAGGAAGAGTCACCCCATGCCCCAGGAAACACCTGGATCTTAGTGGTCAGCAGAATAAAAGAAATCTTCCAATAGGGACCCCTGTTCTGGTGACTCCCTAAACTTCCTGGCACAGCTCCTGGACAGGACGTGAAGGAAAAATCTCCCGGGGACACAGATTGTCCCATTTAGTAAATCAGCCCATGCCCCTGGAAAACCTGAATCTCACAGTAATCACCAGAACAAAAGACATTTTCCAATGGGGACACATGTTCTGTTGACTCCCCGTCACATTCCCTGGACAGGAAGTGAAAGGAAATCTCCACAATGGGGACACAGATTGTTACATCTTGTTAATCAACCTGTGTCCCCTCTAGGAAGAGTCACCCCATGCCCCAGTAAACACCTGAATCTTAGGTGTCAGCAGAACAAAATAAATCTTCCAATGGGGACCTCTGTTCTGGTGACTGTCCTCACTTCCTGTCGTATTCCCTGGACAGGAAGAGAAGGGAAATCTCCTTAACAGGGACACAGATGGCCACGTTTAGTAAACCAGTCCGAGTCCCGGGAAAAGCTGAATCTCACGGTGATCGCCAAAACAAAAGAAATCCTCTACTGGGACACCTGTTCTGGTGACTACCTACACTTTGTTGCATCCCAAGGACAGGAAGTGAGTGGGAATTTCTCTCCTATGGGGACGCAGATTGTTACATCTTATAAATCAACCTGTGTTCCCTGTAGATAGAGTCACCTCGTGCCCCAGGAAAGTCCACACATCATCTTAGTGGTCAGCAGAACAAAGGAAATCTTCCAATGGGTTACCTGTCCTGGTGACTCACCTTACTTCCTGCTGCATCCCGAGGATGGGAAGTGAGGGGGAATCTGCCCAATGGGGACACAGATTGTCACGTTTAGTAAATCAGCCCTGGGAAATGCTGAATCTCACAGTGATCACCGGAACAATAGAAATCCTTCACTGAGGACACCTGTTCTGGTGACTCCCCTCACTTCCTGCTGCATCCTATGGACAGAAAGTGAGGGGGAATTTGCCCAATGGAGACAACTCAATCCGTGCCCCCTCTAGGAAGAGTCACTTTGTACCCCAGGAAACAACTGAATCTTAGTGGTCAGCAGAACAAAAGAAATCTTCCAATGGGGACCCTGTCCTGGTGACTCACCACACTTCCTGTTGCATCCCTTGGACAGGAAGTGAAATCTCCACCTGTTCTGGTGACTCCCCACACTGTTGCATCCCAAGGACAGGAAGTGAGTGGGAATTTCTCCAATGGGGACACAGATTGTAACGTTTAGTAAAATCGACCAGAGCCCCGGGAAAACCTGAATCTCACAGTGATCACCAGAGCAAAAGAAACTTTCCAATGAGAACACCTATCCTGGTGACCCCCCACAATTCCAGTCACATTCCTTTGACAGGAAGTGAGGAGACATCTCCCCAATGGGGACACAGATTCTCATGTTTAGCTAATCAGCCCGAGCCCCGGGAAAAGCTTAATCTCACGGTGATCACAAGAACAAAAGAGATCTTCCAATGGTGACCCTTGTCCTGGTGACGTTCCACACTTCCTTTTGCATCCCTTGGACAGGAAGTGAAGGGAAATCTCCACCTCTTCTGGTGACTCCCCACACTTTCTGTTGCATCCAAAGGACAGGAAGTGAGATTGGATTTCTTCAATGGGGACACAGATTGTCATGTTTAGTAAATCGCCTCGGGAAAACCTGAATCTCAGTGATCAACAGAGCAGAATAAACTTTCCAATGAGGTCACCAAGAGAGGTGTTCCCCTAAATTCCAGTCGCATCCCCTGGACAGGAAGTGAGGAGACATCTCCCCAATGGGGACACAGATTCTAATGTTTAGTTAATCAGCCCGACCCCGGTAAAAGCTGAATCGCACGGTGCTCACCAGGACAAAAGAAATCCTCCACTGGGGACACCTATCCTGGTGATTCCCCTCACCTCCTCCTGAATCCTGAGGGCAGGAGGAGATGGGAAACCTTCCCAATGGGGACAAAGATTGTCATGTTTAGTAAGTCAACCAGAGCTCCAGGAAAACCTGAATCTCACAGTGATCACCAGAGCAAAAGAAACTTTCCAATGAGAACACCTATCCTGGTGACCCCCCTCAATTCCAGTCGCATTCCCTGGACAGGAAGTGAGGAGAAATGTCCCCAATGGGGACACAGATTGTCATGGTTAGTAAATGGACCCTGAGCCCCTGGAAAACCTGAATCTCACAGTGATCGCCAGAACAAAAAAAATCTTCCAATGGGGACCATTGTCCTGGTGACGTCCCACACTTCCCCTTGCAGCCCTTGGACAGGAAGTGAAGGGGAATCTCCACCTGTTCTGGTGACTCCCCACACTTTCTCCCCAATGGGGCCACAGATTGTCATGTTTAGTAAATCAGCCCAAGCCCCGGGAAAAGCTGAATCTCACAGTGATCACCAGGACAAAAGAAATCCTCCACTGGGGACACCTGTCCTGGTGACACCCCTCACCTCCTACTGCATCCTGAGGGCAGGAAGAGATGGGAAATCTCCCCAATGGGGACGCAGATTATCGCGTTTACTAAATCAGCCCGTGCCCCAGGAAACGCCTGATTCTCACAGTGATCACCAGAACAAAATTGGGGACACCTGTCCCTGGTGACCCCCCTCACTTCCTGTTGCATCCTGAGGTCAGGAAGAGATGGGAAATCTCCCCAATGGGGATGCAGATTATCGCGTTTACTAAATCAGCCCGTGCCCCAGGAAATGCCTGATTCTCACAGTGATCACCAGAACAAAACTGGGGACACCTGCCCTGGTGACCCCCCTCACTTCCTGCTGCATCCTGAGGTCAGGAAGTGAGGGGGAATGTGCCCAGTGGGGACACAAAGAGGGGGGGGGGGGGAAGACAGGTAGGTGGGATCTCACCTCTCGGTTGAAGCCCAGCTCTGGGATGAGCCCGGGGCCCCCCACAGTCACCTCCAGGATCTCGGCCGGCCTCTCCCCGTAGTACTGGTAGGTGTCGTTCTCCCCGATCTTCTCCTGCTTGATGGCGCCCAGGCCGTGCATGAAGTCGTGGTTGGGCGGGGAGCCGGGCTCCTTCTTCAGGATCATGTCCCCGTGGCACGGCAGGATGGGGGGCGGCGGAGGAGGAGGCAGCAGGTCAGAGCCCAGGCGGGCGAAGGTGGTGACGGGCGGGAGGTGGCTGAACATCAGCATGCTGGGGGGGAAGGTCGGCTCCATGGCCGGCGGCGGGGAAGGGAGCAGGGGGGGGGGGGGGGGGCCTCCTCTCCGTGAAGGTGAAGCGACGGAGAGAGGCGGCTGCTGAGGTAAAACCGGGAGCGGAACGCCGCACTAAGTCTTCACACACATCCTTCACACGACCGCCTCGCCTCCGTCCCCCGGGGGCCCGCACAATACCGTCATGGACCGCCGGCCCGCACAACAACACACGACGCCCGAAACCTCCACAATAGAAGCTGCTGAGGAGCCGCACTGCGCACGCGCGCCCAACACACAGCCAATCACTGGGCATGCTCGGGCCGCGTACGGCGGCAGCTACGCATGTCCTGCGTCCCGGGACCACCCACTGCGCCTGCGCGCCCTCAGCTCTCGCGATCCAATGTGACGCATGGCGCTGGCCGCGGCGCTTGCGCAGTGCGGCTGCTGAGCTTCCGATTGTGTTGTGTGTCTGGGCGCTTGGCCCTTTGCATTGTTTTGCTGCAGGTTGGCGTGCTTTGTGTGTGAGCAGGGCTGCGACCGTTAGAGAGGTCACCCGAGGAAAAGACCGCGGTGATGTGCCGGAATGGGGTGTATAATGACAATAAACATGTATAACCGCGTTAATCATCGGGATAAACCTCCCTGACGGGCGCATTTTGTTTACTTTTTTTTTTTATGTTATAGTTCTTTTTTCCATTATGAGCGCCTAGGCCTCAAGCGCTGTGTTTTTTACGCATATTTTTGCACATTTAATTGAATGGGCCAACCTTCGCGCCAAAGTAGCTCTTGGAGCCAGCTTTGGACCGTGCAACAAAACGCTCATTTTTACGGCACGCCACGGTACCAAAATACACGTGACGCGATTTTATCACAATTCTGAGTCGTTCGGATGTGAATGACTCAGAATTGAGAGAAAATCTCATCACCATGTGCATTTTGGGACCGTGGCGTGCCGTAAAAATTAACGTTTTTTGTTGCACAGTCCAAAGCTGGCTCTCGTGGTTTTTCTGAGCTCGTTAAAAAGGATCTATTCATATTTACAGACTGGCCAAACATGTAACGATCGGATCAAACGAATTGATCGGATCAAATGACTCATCACAGAATCGAGTAATAGGGATTATCTGATGGTGGTCGTACAGGTAACGATCGGATCAAATGATTCATCACAGAATCAAATAATATAAATTATCTGACTGTGGTCATACACATAACGATCGGATCAAATAATCACAGAATCGAATAATAGGGGTTATCTGATGGTGGCCGTATACGTAACGATCGGATCAAATGATTCGTCACAAATTCTAATAATAGGGGTTATCTGATGGTGGCCGTCTACGTAACGATTGGATCAAATGATTCATAACAGAATCGAATAATAGGGGTTATCTGATGGTGGTCGTACACATAACGATCGGATCAAATAATCACAGAAACGAATAATAGGAATTATCTGACGGTCGTACAGGTAACGATCGGATCAAACGATTCATCACAGAATCAAATAATAGGGATTACCTGATGGTGGTTGTACAGGTAACGATCGAATCAAATAATCACAGAATCGAATAATAGGCATTATATGATGGTGGCCGTATACGTAACGATCTGATCAAATGATTCATCACAGAATGGAATAATAGGGATTATCTGCTGGTGGTCGTACAGGTAACGATCAGATCAAATAATCACAGAATCAAATTATATAAATTATCTGACCGTGGTCGTACACATAACGATCGGATCAAACGATTCATCACAGAATCGAATAATAGAAATTATCTGATGGTGACTACAGGTAACAATGGGATCAAATGGTTTGTCACAGAATCGAATAATAGGGATTATCTGACGGTCGTCTTACACGTAGCGATCGGATCAAATGATTAATCACAGAATCAAATAATAGGAATTATCTGACAGTGATCATACACGTAATGATCTGATCAAACGATTTGCCACAGAATCAAATTATATAAATTATCTGACAGTGGTCGTACACATAACGATCGGATCAAATAATCACAGAATCGAATAATAGGGATTATCTGACCATGGTCGTACAGGTAACGATCGGTTCAAACGATTTGTCACAGAATCGAATAATAGGGATTATCTGACGGTGGTCGTACAGGTAACAATTGGATCAAATGATTCGTCACAGAATCGAATAATAGGGATTATCTGACGGTGGTCGTACAGGTAACAATTGGATCAAATGATTTGTCACAGAATCGAATAATAGAAATTACCTGATGGTGACTGTACAGGTAATGATCGGATCAAATGGTTTGTCACAGAATCCAATAATGGGATTATCTGACGGTGGTCGTACAGGTAATGATCGGGTAAATCAATTAATCACAGAATCGAATAATAGGAATTATCTGATGGTGGCCGTATAGCTAACAATCAGATCAAACGATTCATCACAGAATTGAATAATAGGGATTATCTGATGGTGGTCGTACAGGTAACGATCGGATCAAATTACACTGTTCAACAGGTAAAAAAGTTTTGGGCATAAAATTAGCTAATCTTACATAATTTTGGGGTGCTGAAAACGAAAATGACCCTAAAAAATGTTGATTGGCTCTAGTTTCCATGATATATTCACCCATCTAATGACGTAAGCCATTCAAAATTATGATGCAACTTCAGCTGCATATTGCGCAATTGATACTGGTGACCAATAGAAAATTGCATGTATACTGAGATGATGTAATATTAGCCTTTAATTGCATCACTTCACTGCATAAAAGCTGCAGTATCTGTAGCTGATTGTAGTTCGACAGCGTCTTTACATTTCGTTTTATGCTTATATAGGCTACTCAGTAATGCCTCGAACTTGTGTGAATAAAGCAGATAATTTCTGCTATATCTGCGGTGAAATAACTTTTATCTCACAAAAAAGGAGGATAACAGGAATGATTAAGAAAGCCTACAACTTGTATTTTGGCTGCAAGATAGGAGACAGGACAAGAGCTGGGCACCACATATATGCTACAATTCTTGTGGGACGGCACTGGAGCAATGGTTGAATGGAAAAAAGGCATCTATCCCTTTCGCTGTGCCAATGATTTGGAGAGAGCCAACAGATCATGTTAGTAATTGTTACTTTTGTATGGTGCCTCCAATTGTAAAAGGGCTAAATAAGAAGAAAAAGTTATCTGTGCACTATCCAAATATTCCATCGGCAATACGTCCAGTTCCTCATGGAGAGGGGCTACCAATTCCTAAAGCACCAGAATCCTTCGTGGTTGAGTCAAGTGAGGAAGAACCTGAAGCATGTAGTCACGTGCAGTTGTAAGAGATAGCCCTTTCCTCGAATACAAGAGAAAAGCCAAGAGAAGCAAAACCGACACAAACTGAAGACAAAACTAGTGAGAATCCTAAGTATTAAAATGATTCAACTTAGCTTATGGCTATAATTTTTCTTGGTAATTCGTATCCTATGCAATATATTATGCCATTTAGGCTTTGTTATGTAGTCAATATCACTTGCTTTATATTTGTGGAAAGACATCTATCTATATAATTATTGTGCATTATGTAGTCATTACGCCTATAGTAGAAAACTTTCCGTTTACAGAAAAACTAGAGCCAATTGACAAATTTCATTGTTATATTTGAACTCAGAATGTGAAATTCATTAAGAAATGGATCCTTTTGTTTCCAAAACTGGCAAAAAATAAAAATTTGTTGAACAGTGTTATTTGTCACAGAATCGAATAATAGGGGTTATCTGACGGTGGTCGTACAGGTAACGATCGGATCAAATGATACATCGCAGAATCTAATAATAGGTGTTATCTGACGGTAGCCATACATGTGATAAGGGTCTGTTCACGCATCAACACGCATTAAAATGCTCAAAAAATGGATGTGTGTTACTTTCCATTGGTGTGCTTAACAGGCAATTGCACAGTCATGCAACGCTGTACCCAAATTAAATTTATAATTTTTTTTTTCACAAAAATTGAGTTTTAGTGCCATTTGATCACCACTGGGTTTTTTTTTAGTATATAAATAAAAAAATACTGAAAATTTAAAAAAAAAAAAAATTTCTACTTTATAAACCATATCCAATAAAAAAATAAAAAAACAAAATCAAATATTTTCATACATTTAGGCTAAAATGTATTCTGCTACGTCTTTGGTAACAAAAAGAAATCTGAATAAGTGTGTAATAATTGGTTTGAATCTACAAACTATGGTATACAGTATATGTGGGAATTTCCACAGCTGTAAAGGCGGTAACCAGCGGCAATCACAGTGATTTATAGGTAAAGTTGATCCAGGGAATATCCAATTGCCTATTGGGGGATCAGGAAGGAATTTTTTCCCCTGCAGGAGCAAATTGGATCATGCTTTGCTGGGTTTTTTGCCTTCCTCCGAATCAACCGTGGGTGTAGGATTATAACTTTTTTTTCTTTTTTATAGTTGAACTGGATGGACTTTTGTCTTTTTTTCAGCCAGACTATGTAATTACTTCATAACTCCATCCTACGCTCCCTCACCCACATCTTCAATCTCTCCCTCTCCTCAGGCACTTTCCCCTCCCCTCTGAAACATGCACACATCACCCCCATACTTAAAAAGCCCTCCCTGGACCCCAATGACCCGAACAACCTCAGACCCATCTCCCTGCTCCCATTTACATCTAAACTCCTCGAGCGCCTAGTCTACACCCGCCTATGCTCTCACCTCAACGACAACAACCTCCTCGATCCCCTACAGTCCGGCTTCCGTCCCCTACACTCCACCGAAACTGCCTTACTCAAACTCTCCAACGACCTGCTAACCGCCAAAGCTAATGGACACTATTCAGTGCTCCTACTCCTTGACCTCTCTGCGGCCTTCGACACAGTCGACCACCCCCTCCTCCTCAAAAAACTACACTCCCTCGGCCTCAGAGATTCTGCTCTCTCCTGGATCTCATCCTACCTGTCACAACGCTCTTTCAGCGTTACCTATAATGCTACCACCTCCCC